ATCCCATAAGGGCGCCAGTTCAAGTTCTGGCTGCTTCACTTCCAATCCAGCTCTCTGCTATGGCCTGGGAAAGCAGTAGAAGATGGCCCAAGTCCTCAGGCCCCTGCACCCTGTGGAAGACCCAGAAGCAGCTCCTGGCTCCTGGATTCAGAACAGCGCAGCTCCAGCCGTTGCGGCCAACTGGGGAGTGAACCAGCAGATGGAAGATTCTCTCTCTCTGCCTCTCTTTTTCTCTCTGTGTAACTCTGACTTTCAAATAAAAAAAAAAAAACTTAAAAACTTAAAAAAATAAAAAGCTATGCATGAATATCAACAGTTTTTGTACTAAAATAAACTTATCTTTTACTTCCATGAACTTTTTGAAGTGCCCACTTATTTGTGTTACATTATCTTTCCCTTCTACTTCATATTATACCAATAAAGAGAGCATTTTTCTCATCAGTGTATATTCCAGCACCCAATTCAGTGGGTGCCTGGAAAGTAGTGAACGTGCAAAACATCTTTTATGGGAAATGAATAGAAAATATTAAGGGTTAGCATTTTTTTCAAGGAGTACTTAGGAAGTGGATTAGTGCCAGCGACTTGGTACGTCTCATGTAGTGAGATTCTACAAAAGGTATTTTTGAACAATGGTAATGCAACATGCCAAGCACATCCACATTTTCCTGTTATCTCTTTTAGAGGTTGGTTTCAGGCCAAAGCTGACCTTTACTGATAACTATACAGTGAAGCCTTTTGCATCTTATATTAGAAACATCCTATTATACATTTTGTGTTCAGTCTGTCTTTAGAGAGCAACTGAAAATTTACAACACTGGAAAATAAAAACAAAAACCTCTGAGAAATGCTTTCTTTAATATGTCACACTAGTAAGATGAGAATTCTTTTTTTTTTTCTTTTTAAAAAAATTGATTTGAGTGTCGTGGCACATTGAATAAAGCTGCCACCTGCAACAATGACACCCCATATGGGTACCGATTCATGTCCTGGCTGTTCCACTTCCAATCCAACTCCCCGCTAATGGCCTGGGAAAGCAGAAGAATATGGTCCAAGTGCTTGGGTCTCTGCCTCCCATGTGAAAGACCCAGATGAAGCTCCTGGCTCCTAGCTTCAGCATGACCCAGCGCCTGCTATTGGAGCCATCTGGGGAATGAACCAGTAGATAAAAGGTCCCTTTCTCTTTGTTGCTCTTTCTCTGTGATGTTTTCAAAATAAACAAATAATTCTAAAAAAAGATATTTATTTATTTGAAAGGCAGAGTGACAGCGAGGGAGTGACAGAGATCGTCCATCTGCTGGATCACTCCTCAAATGTGTGCAATAGCTGGCAGCAGGCCAGGATCTCCATCTGGGCCTCACATTTGAGTGGGCTGTCACCTGCTGCCCCCCAGCATGCACATTAGCAGGAAGCTGTATTGGAAGTGAAGGTGGAAGTTGATCTTAGGCATTTTGATATGGGACGCATGTGTCCAAAGCAGAGGCTTAACCAACTGTGCCACAACACCCACCCACCTTCAAATGGTGTGAACCACTTGAAAGAAATGACTGGCCACCTGTTGGCAGGTAAGGGTAGGTCAACAGTTTAAATGGGAATGTGAACCATAATCACCTGGAGGACTTGTTAAATAAAACCCACATGCCTATGCCAAACCCAAAATTTGTGATTCCATCGATTTGGTGTGAGGGCCTGGGAATTTATGTTTCTACCAACTTCGCAGGTGATGCCCATGCTGCTGGGCTAGGAACCAAAGGCTTATGTAGCCTATCCTCCTTGAGAACTACTCTCCAAGGTCACATCCTGTTGTTCTAAGGACCTCCCACTAGCACACTTTTCAAACACCATAATTGGATCACTTGGAGAACCACTAGAAAACAGTTGTTGAAAGGGAATCTCGCTACATGTGGTTTCAAAATCAGCACCATTCTTGATTTGACCCAGTCTCATAAACAAAACTGCTAAAGATGAAAACTCAGAAGATGCTACATAAATATTATGGGATATATTATTCAACCATAACCTTAGCGTATTACTCTTGGGTTTGTTTTCAATTATACTTCTTAAGGAATTATCTTGTTTCACTTTCTAAACATGAAATTCTGGGGACTGGGGGCGAGGAATCTGTTATTGTTGTCCTCAGTAGCAATCCCTTCCATTACTTCCTCCTGCCCCCACCCTGTTCCATGCAAGCCTCTCTAGTCATCATTCCCCTATCTGTAGAAAAGGACATGATACTACCCTTCTCAGCGAACTGCTGTGAGGACTAAATGAAACCCTAATGCAAAATACTTGGCATCGAAAATAGCCTTTAAGTGGTAACTGCAATGTTTTTACCAATTTACCTACTAATTTAAGGAGCTAAATCCCAATAGTCTTGGGACCAATGAACCAAATTACTTAAAATCCTAATACATTAATTGATTACAGCAATATTCCTGAAATACTAAAAACAAACGTTGTTTTGTTCCAGGTACTCTGCTTACTGTGGCAAAGATCTGTTTGATTGGCAATATTGGCACAAGGCACCAGGGCAGAGTTCACCTTAATCTACAAAACTATAAATATAAGTCACCTGAAGCACAATTTAAAAACACAGATTTCTGAGTTCCACTCCCAAACCAACTAAAGCCACATCCAGGAAAAGGCCCAGGAATCTTCCACTAATCACCACAGGTGATTTTTTTTTTCTGATTAGCAATTTTGGGAAAACAATGAGGGTGCCTCTCAGGCCATTCTAACAGCGGCTAAAACAAGTCCTAAACATTGTTCCTATGTACTCGCCAGACCATTGCTTACTCAATTTCCTTAAGTCCCTTCGGACTTGGTAATTTTGTTCCAGTGGAGCTGAAGCCACTTGGAGAGGTCGATTGGAAGCGCGGCTTTTTGTTTTGTTTTTGCCTTGACAAGTTTCTGAGCTCCGAGCTCACTCACCCTCTCCTACAAGTCGGGCCCTGTGCCTCCCTTCTGAGTGGCCTGCCTCACCTCTCCCCCCTTGAACTTCCTCCTGCTTCATCTCCCAGCTGATCTCGGCTTCAGGTCTAGCTTGTTTGTCCTCTCGCTGCACCTCATGAGCAGAACATTTGGTGCTTTCCCAGTTCACGTCGCCTTGCTGGAATAGTCAATTTCCAGGGATTTTACAGGCAGGCCGAGACAGTTTGTTCAGAACAGCGACGCCGGGCCCAGGGCTGGCAGCAGTCAGCCGAGGGCTTCCTGGCGGCACAGCCACCCGTGACCTTGGGCGAGCGCGACAGCGGGCGCCGCCTGGCCCGCTCCTTCCCGCCGGCGGCCGCGCTCAGCTCCGCCTGCACTTTGGAACCGAAAAGACGGGGTGGGGGGTGGGGTGGAAGGAGCGGGGAGGCTTCACAAACAGAAGTCCCAGAAGCCACGAGGCAGTTCCTTTTCTGGAAACGAATCCTTCTAACTAATGCCTCTGGGGGAGGGGGGAACCGCCTGACCGGGAACCAAGACAAAAGCGTGAGAACTCCGACGGCGAAAAGCGGGCTCGAGTGAGAAAATCGGAAGGAGGGAGGCTGAGGGAGGACAATCGGGTTAAAAATAGAAACGCATCCACCGCAGGCCTGGCTCCTTCCAGCTCCACCCAGGGGCCGGCCGCCGGGTCGGTGACTCGGCTCGCTGAGCGTGCGGGCGGCGCGGCCCGCCTCCCGGTGGCCGGGACTGGAGGCCGCGGGGCCGGGGCCGGGCCTCGGGCTAGCGACGTCAGCGCGCTCCCCGCCGCCGCCGCCGGGGTTTGCACTGACGCACAGGCCCCGCCCCCGCTCTCCCTCACCGCCCGGACGCCGGGCGGATAGAGCCAGTCCGTCGGCCGGACCGCACAGCTGCGTGCACGGCGTCCGTGGGCTCGCTCGCTGCCGGCAGCCGCGCAGCCTCGCGGGCGGTGGCGGTGAGCGACAGGCAGCGCCATCCGCGGGCCCTCTCGGCGCCCGCCCCTCGCTGCGCTCGCCCCCTTCGTCGGCCCGGCCGGTCTCCCCGGGAGGCGTGAGGCGACGACAGGCGAGCGCCGTGAGCAGCGATCGCCGCCGCGGCCTGTGGTCCTCCCTCCGCCTCCTCCTCGGCCCCCCCTCGCCTCCCTCCTCCTCCTCCTCCTCCTCCTCCCACTTCCCGAGCTCCGGCGTGTCCCGGCCACGCTCGGCGCTGCTGCAGGAACAAAGGAGGATCCCGCGGGGAGAGAGCGACAGCGCCCACCTCCGCCAGGAGCTCCAGACCCGCTCCCGGCATGCGACGGCGGCGACAGCGAGCTCCAGAGCAACCGGAAGAGCTCCCTTTCCCGGCGGCCTCGACCCGGCCTCCCCGCGCCGGCGTCGCGCGCGAGCCCGGCTGCTGCGTTCGGACCCCCGCAAGGTGAGTGGTGCGGCGCTGGGGGCCGGCGCCGGGCTCCTCGTGCGGGGCTGGCGAGCTGCAAGTGAGGGGGCTCGGACGCCACCGCGGGCCTCGGGCGATGCCGGGGCGGGCGGCGGATGGCGGCGTCCGGGGGAGGGGAGCCCGCCGCCTGCTCCCTCAGGAAGCACAAAGGCGGAGGCGGCATCCTGTCGTCGTGGCCCGAGGCCCGGCTCCCAGCGCCCCCGGCTCGCTTGGCACAGGCAGCAGGGTCAGGGGAACAATGCCCGGCGTGCGGCCGCCACAGGGCCGAGCTCCGGGCCCCCGCTCGCTGCGGCGCCTGGCCTGGGCAGCCGAACCTGGGGGAACAAAGAGGCCGAGGGCGCCGACCGCGCCCCCGGCCGGCTTCCCGCTGCACCCCCCCAGGCCGCCTCGTCGTCCGACGAGCCGTTTGGGGTCGGGGGTCGCGCGGGGCCGGCGGGGTGAGCTGCCGGCCCGGCCTGCAGAGCTGCTGTTAGGCATGACTCAGTGGTTTTCGGAGAAGGCCCTGCTGGGCTGTCTGGACTGAGGCCTTTCGCTGGGAGGGGAATGGGGAGACCGGGGGTACTTGAACTTGCTGTAAATCCGTTGGGACGTGGGGCCGGGGCTTCTCCGCGGTGGGGTCTTCGTTTTCCGGGCGTCGCTGCGCTTCTCCCCCCAAGATCCCTTTCATGGAGGAAGTGGAGCACCTTCCTCTTTGTTCCGTGCAGTAGGGCTCAGGAACGCGGTTTTTTGTTTTCGCTCTTTTTCCACGCTCTCCGTGCAGCTGTGTTTTGGGGGAAAAGGTCGGTTTACTACCTTTATTGATTGATTGCCTCCTAAGAATATTGCCTAAGGGGATATTTAAGACCAAGGGTTATATAGGTCATTCAGGTAGCTCACAGACTTCGATATTCTAAATGAAGCTTATTTTACTCATTTTTAAGAGAACTTAAGGATTTTAGAATTGGGAAAAATATTGCAGTTTATCTTTTGAAATTTTTTCGTGAAATAACCCCTCAAAATGTAAGGGTTTCTTGTAGTTAGTTCCCCCTACTTTCTGAAGCTCGATATTAAAACCTGGGAAGAAACCTTATAGAAGGCACTCTACGTTTGGTAAAGAAAAAACCGAGATCTGGAGAGCAGGAACTTGCCCAAGGTCACTGGCTTAGTGGCAAAGACTAGAACTCAGGTCTCAATTCCCAGGTGAGTGGCATTGTTGCCATTTTATAACATGAGGTGCAGCAGAAATAACTACATTCCACCCATGTAAAAGCCCTTTATTCAGATTTGAGTCCGGAGCATTTTTTTTGCACACAAGTTTTTTGTTTTTAGGTTTTTGTTTTGTTGTTTTTTGTTTTTTGAGCCATGAATTAGAGGAAGGCACAAACTGTTGGGAAATATATTCCGGCTCTTGATGGAGCTGACACATGAATGCCAACGCTTTTAACAGTAAATTTAAAGGTAGTAAATAATGTGATTATTTTAAAGTATTGACAAAGAGAAATGCAGTACCTAATGGCAAACACTGGCATCTCCCTCTACCCCAAAAATTGTCCATAATGTGAAGATTCTCTATAGTTTGACGTCTTCTCTAGTATGTTAATTTTTCATAAACAACACTGGCCATTTTGGCTTCATGAGTGATTAATGGTGCTTGCAGCTTCTAGATTGCGTTTGAGATTGCTCTCAAATCCTCCCTACCTTAGGTTAAAAAATGTAGCAGCCTTAATTACATTGCAATTTTTGTTTTGTTTTCTTATATTAGATACATGAGTGCTACATCCTTAGTTCTAGGGGTTGTGTAGGAGTTGGCAGGCTCTGGGATATAAATAGAAGCTGATTTCAGAGGCCCCTGTTGACTAGGCTTTATGTGAGAGCCTCCATCCAGCTCAGGCTGTCACATTGCAGCCTTGTGACAGGCTGAAGCACCCTCCCATGTGATCTAAGCTTCTGAGAAATATTAAGGCAAGCCGTGCACATGTGATGGCATTTAAAAGCTGACTTTCTTGGGGAAAAAAATCTAAAAGATGGGAAGATTGGTAGACGTGATAGTGATAATTGAGGGTTAATTATAATTGAAGGATGGCTTTTTGTTTTTTAAATGTCAGAATGGGTGAGATCATTAAATGAATCCATTGACCCCATTGTATTTACATAAAACATTTTAAGAATCAGATTTACATTAATGTGGATTGATCTGTTCTTAAATTAGACCATTTTGCTTTTTAAAAGACAATATTGGAGAATCTGGAAGTTAGTAAAGTGTGAATAAATGATTGGCTTAAAGAATCATCCAACTTTTTGCATAGGGCACATACTTCGCTTGTGCTCCGAATGCAAATAGATATAAATTCATTTGAGTCATTTTCTTTTTCTTTTTCTTTTTTTTTTTTGCCCCTGCAATAGAAAAGTTTTTAAAAACCCAGCTGGAAATATTTATTAATAAACTTCATAAGTAATGTTGAAATGTTTACACTACCCTGCTCCAAAATGAGTCAGCTAAATTCCACTTACTATTTAAAGAGACAGCATCTACTAAATTAGTGTTGTTCAAAGTAAGTTATGGATTTTGGTCACTCTCCATGCAAACTTGATTGGGTTTCAAAAAAGATCATGGAAAATGCTTGTTAGGAGAGAAACTGTGCATAGATTTCAAAACTTTTTGTACCTTAATAAATTTAGTACATTGTACACGGACTAACTGCTGTGGTATTTATATGGTGTTATTTTGCTAACAAATGGAAAGACTATTGTCATTTAAAAGTTTGGGGCTATTCTGGCCTGGTCAAAATTGATTAGTCCTCTTCTCTCTTTTATAATTTGGATAGTTAATATTTGTTAAAGCACTTTTAGAGATTACTAAAGTATATTTTATTGTGTAGTGGTTGGAAAATGACAGTGACCACACACCATGCTCTAATATGCTTTCTATGAGTTCTTAAATAATGGTTATTTTTTTTTTACCCAAAGGAAAACTTTAAATTTTAGTACAGCCTTAACTATATTTCTGTCAATTTGAATAATACTTTTTGGAAAGGATATGCTTGCTGTATAAAGTTCTTCCTGGTAACAGCATTAAATATTAACAATTACTAAAGGTCATGTATTTATGTTGCTTAACTTTACTATATTGAGCTTGCAAAGGTTTTATTTTCTGGTTATGAGTAAGACAATACAGCCTTAGGCTGAGAAATCTATGGTTGATAATCTTTGTGCCTTTCAGTTTTTCTGGGCACAATCACTTTAAAGCACTCTTAAACATATTTTAATACCTCAAAGGTAGAGCATAAAGGAATTTTCATAAGCAGCTGATCCCTAAATTCTTATAACTTTGAGTTGGTGCCTAGGTAGTAGCAAGAAGGGCTGCCAGTTCCCTTTTCAGTCTTAAAAAAGAATTATCAAATTACTAAGGTTAGCAAGTTCAGATTTTAGTTTAAGAAAGCCTTAGGGTCCAATGCAGTATTCAGCCAATTTAAAGAACCACTGATAAATATCAAAGAATCAGTGATTGTTGTTATTGTAGGTTGTTTTTTTTTTTTTTCAATTTGAAAACTCTACTTAATGTTTTTAGCCAGTGAAATAAAAATATCTGAAGTGGTCTGCATATAGTGCAGGAGAGAAGAACATGACTTAAAGATAATGCCAGTTTCCAAAATTGGTTAAAACATAACCCTGATATCTAGCAGACTTATTTTATGATAGAATTTAGTTGTTATAAAACAATCCATTTCATGCCCTTTTATATAGGCAACAAAATATATAATCTTTACTCATTTTTTTCTGCTCATTCTTTTTAATGTTTGGGTTTTTGTTAGAAATAGACTTGGTATTTAGAAATAACAGGTACACTGGTGATTGCATTATACTAATTTTATTTTGGTGACTTGCTAATTTCTGAAATTTTGTTTTGTTTATAGCAGGAAAATATGGCTCAGGAGACTAACCAGACTCCGGGGCCTATGCTGTGTAGCACAGGATGTGGCTTTTATGGGAATCCTAGGACAAATGGAATGTGTTCTGTTTGCTACAAAGAGCATCTTCAGAGACAGCAGAATAGTGGCAGAATGAGCCCAATGGGTAAGTTGTTTCCAAGAAAAAAACGTAGTTGAAGAAACTGGTGGACAGAAAAGTAGAGAACAAAAAATTGGGGATCAAGACTGAAAGCGCTGAAAGCCACAGAGAGAAGAGCTAACAAGTGCCTGAAATTAAAGCAACATCCCAAGTTGACATAACTGCATCAGAGATAAATAACTATCTGCAATCATCTTCCAGCTCTTTCAGTTTTCCTTTTTGAAGTTTTGATTCATACTTGTGTTCACTGGATATAACGTATATATGTGTGTGCATTATATATATATATTTTTTTTTGGTGCAGATACTCGATTCTAAGTGTACGATGGTTGCACAGTGTGCTTAAATCACTAAACTTATTAAATGCAAGTATTTGTTACTTATTAACTGTTCATAGTAAGTTTTTGGTAGTGTTGATATATATCTTATGAATCTTTTTTTTTAAATAGGGACAGCTAGTGGTTCCAACAGTCCTACCTCAGACTCTGCATCTGTACAAAGAGCAGACGCTAGCTTAAACAACTGTGAAAGTGCTGCTGGTAGCACATCTGAAAAATCAAGGTAAGAATGAGCATTACAGAGAGGACATAGAGGTGTCTACACTGTGCATCAATAATGAAGATGTTAGTGTATTATGTCCTTGGCTTTGTGGGTATTGCAGAGTCAAAGATTCTAATGTCCAGTGACTCTTAGGTTGTTGAGTAAACACCTGTATTACACCATATTTCATAACCCTCTCAGGGACACTGTTAAAAATGCTGTGCTTTTATTTCCTTGTAATTGAAGTGTAAGAACTGTAGAGAAGAATCTCTGCAGACCATATTATGCCACACAAGCTATTCTGATATAGGTATTCCCTTTGCCTTTAAATCACAGGCACAGCTAACATGTCTAGTTTGTTTTAATAGAACACGCTAACCTATACAAATGTATAGCCTTTGGATGATAAGCCATATGTCAGATTTCTTCTCAGCCACTCAAGCTGGACATCTGATATCTTAAAATTCAATTATCTAGTTTCATTTGATCATGTTGGAAAAAAATAAATGATATAAGGTTGAACTGACAACTCATTACCTCAAAAGAAGTACCCTTAACATCTTTAAAAATAATTGTTTGCTTGAACTCAAATAGAAATGTGCCTGTGGCTGCCTTGCCTGTAACTCAGCAAATGACAGAAATGAGCATTTCAAGAGAGGACAAAATAACTACCCCGAAAACAGAGGTGTCAGAGCCAGGTATGCTTTTCATTTAATACTAGTTCAGTTTTGAATTTGGTAGTTTGAGAGAGGGTTGGTGGGATTTGTTCCTTCCCATTGAAGGACAAAAGTGGAGGGAGAACTGTAGTGTACAGGCCAAGCAAAGAAATACTCTCTTTAAAGTATATTGGAGTGTAAATTAGTCATGTTCTCTTTCTTTGCCTATTCCCATTACCTTCGTGCTAGCACATAAGCAGAATTTGTATTCTGGAGACTGAAGAATTTAATGTAAATTTTAAGATCATAAGGAAAAATTTTGTAATAAAAAATGACTTCAGTCTCGATACTGTCAGTGTTGTAGAAAGCGTTCATTCACTGAACACTGAAAATTGAAGGACACAGTGCAGAATCCCTAATCAGACATGCTGTAATGTTGTAAGAAAACTGATTTGCTGAATAATCTCTGGATAGGCTCCAGAATAAGGATCTACACACTCTGGTATACATATAGTTTATAAAACCGCTCTTCCTTGGTAGAATGGTAACTGAATGCAATCTAAAACTTTGTTGTTGGGGGAAGGAGGGGAGGAGGCTATGCAATCTGCTTTGAACACCTGCTTTTGCTAACTACGTTGTAGGCAAGTTTATCGATTTTACGTAGTTCAGGGTCAAATTATTAAGTTTGGGGTGACCTTAATTGTGCTTCATATTTTGAAATGAGTTCATCCTTCTGGGAGAAACAAACTCTCCAAATTAGTGTGTGTGTGTGTGAGACGCTTTATTAAGTATATATAAAACTACTCAGACCTTGGAATAATAACTTCTGAGTTAGGTCTGTACCTGTTCTGCCTAGACTGTACTAGCTAGTATCTGCATTTATTGATAAACAGAAGAGGTTCGCTGCTGTTTGCCTTCGTTGTCTCATTTTTCTCTTTTCCTCTGTGTTTCAGGAATCACTAGTCATTTTGGTACGGTTGTCATAGTATAGTAGATTATTAGGCTTAAGCAGTATATGGCACTGGCACTCTAATGTTAGGCTGTTGAGCCCTGTGTGGATACACTACTAATGCAGATGAATGAGAAATTTGAGGAGAGCTGAGTAAGTTGACATTAAACTAATCAGCTTGCTCTGGAAGCTTGGACATATGCTAATGGCATTGGTGCTGGCATATTGTTGAAGTAGTTTCAGCACTGCATACATAAATTTGCTATTACAGTTTGAGTTAATATTAAAACTTAAATGTAACAACATTACATAAGTAGAAATAAATTTTGGTATCGTGCTTGAAAGAACTAGTGGTAATATACATTTTAATGCAGTCCTCTGCAGTGTTTTATTCATTGTGGCAGATTTCTGTTGTCAGAAAGAAAACTTAGAGGTGGGAATAAGTTAGAGCTCTTTTAGTTGGGAAAAAGAAAAGTACAGCTTTCTGTAGATCATTCTTGCTATCCGAAATCATTAACGAAACAAATAAAATTGTAAAGAAATGTTCTTTCTTGGAAATCCTTCATAAACACTGTAAAAAATTTTTCAAAAGAAGGTTTAAGAAAAGTTTTCTACGTATAACAATATGTATGAGGAAACTGAACAATTTTATCTCTAGGTTTTTTGTTCTGGTTGTTAAGAGTGACTTTAAAGGAATGTGATCATTTTACAGAATTTAAGAGTAGTGGTATGGTGATTGGCAGGAATGCTCAAGCAATTAAGTTCTGACGTTAAAAAGATTGTATTTAAAGTTTTTTTAAGAAACATTTAGATACTCTTAGTAAGAATCTTTTCAGTATTTTCTGTTTTTACTAAAATTATCAGCCAGTGAACTCTTGACAAATTTATAATTTTTACTGTTTTTCAGTTGTCACTCAGCCCAGTCCATCAGTTTCTCAGCCCAGTACTTCTCAAAGTGAAGAAAAAGCTCCTGAGTTACCCAAACCAAAGAAGAACAGATGTTTCATGTGTAGAAAGAAAGTTGGCCTTACAGGTATTACAGTTGGCCTTAAGACTCTGTATGTGTGTATATATACATTGACTGACTGATTTAGACAGTGTTTCTTTGAGAGGCAGAGGGAGACAGAGGTCTTCCATTTACTGATTCGCTCCCCAGATGGCCACAACGGTTGGAGCTGGGCCAATCTGGAGCCAGGAGCTTCCTTCAGGTCTACCACAAGGGTGCAAGGACCCAAGCACTTTTGTTACCCTCAACTGCTTTCCCAGGCCACAAGCAGAAAGCTGGATCAAAAGAGAAGCAGCTGGGACATGCACTTGCACTGCAGGTGGAGGCTTAGCCCACTTTGCCACAGCACAGGTGTATATTTTACTGTTTGTAATTAGCAGCGAACTCCTTAAGGGACTAGTTAGTTGGTTTAACATGTTTAAAAAACAAAACTGGTGTTACAGCAGTTGAAATCACACTTGGGGTACCCACGTCTGTATCAGAGTGCTTGGTTCAAGTCCCAGCTCTACTTCCCTTCCAGTTTTCTGCTTACGCGCACTTTGGAAAGCAGCAGGCAGTGGCTTGGGTTCCTGCCACTCATGTGAGAAAATCCAGATGTAGTTCTAGGCCTCCTAGCTCAACATAGGCTGTTGGTGGCATTTGGAGAGTCAACCAACAGGTAGGGGTGTATGTGTGTGCGCACGTGCGTGTGCCCCTCCTGCCTTTCAAATAACATTTTTTAAAACCCGACCTTCAAGAACAGAAAATTTCCAGAAGGGGATAGGAACGGAGAGGTGGGAGATTATTGAGGCATGAGGAGACATTGGGTTTTTTTTTTTTTTTTTAACTGTTTGTTTGTTTTGGACAGGCAGAGTTAGACAGTGAGGAGAAAGGTCTTCCTTCCGTTGGTTCACCCCCCGAAATGGCCGCTATGGCCAGCGTGCTGCGCCAATCCAAAGCCGGGAGCCAGGTGCTTCCTGGTCTCCCGTGTGGGTGCAGGGCCCAAGCACTTGGGCCATCTTTCACTGCCTTCCCAGGCCACAGCAGAGAGCTGGACTGGAGGAGGAGCAACTGGGACAGAATCTGGCGCCCCAACTGGGACTAGAACCCGGTGTGCCAGCGCTGCAGGCGGAGGATTAGCCTAGTGAGCCGCAGCGCTGGCCGGGTTTCATTTTAATCTCTAATTGAGTGAAACTCTTAACTTCTTCTCTGAATTTTTTTAGGTTCATTAAAATCATCCCTGTTTCTTTGTTTTCCTAGGGGAAAAAGCTGAACTCTTTTTTTTTGTTTGTTTGTTTGTAAAGATTTATTTATTTATTTATTTATTTATTGGAGAGGCAGAGAGAGAGCAGGCTTCCATCCGCTGGTTCACTCCCCAATTGGCCGCAGCAGTTGGAACTTTGCGGATCCAAAGCCAGGGGCCCAAGGAGTTGGGCCATCTTCTGCTTTCCCAGGCCATAGCAGAGAGCTGGATGGGAAGTGGAGCAGCCAGGACTTGAACTGGCGCCCATATGGAATGCCAGCACTTCAGGCCAGGGTGTTAACCCGCTGCGCCACAGCACTGGCCCCAAGCTGAACTCTTAAGATAACAATAAATGCCTACCTTGAGCTAGGCACACAGTGTTGTATGTTTAGTTTTGTTTTCTTCCACTTGTTTCCTTTAAATCTCAGAGCTTTATGGTTGTCTTGTCATAGTTGTCATGGACTGTTTTGAATCCAGGTCAGCCTAATTCCAGAGCCTGTGTAAATTCTTCCCTGTGTAGTACATCTACAGGAGATGATAGAAAGCGAGCCTCTGGTGGAGTTAGCTGACAGATAACACATTTTGTTTGCTCAGTGTTTTTTGGTTTACCAGTCAGTGTTCCTTCACAATTCTATTGTCCCATTGAGGAAACCAAGCGTATTTCTTTAACTAGCTCACCCTGTCAGAGGCAGTTAGAGCTCTTTATAAAGTGATAGACTGTCAAAAAATGACTGTGTCATGTTGTAAATCAATGACATTATGGTGCCTTTTTTTTATAGTGACTAAAGTTGGGTTTTTTTTTTTTTCAACTACAAGTTCCCAAGTGACTGCTTCCTCTTTTTTGTACAGGGTTTGACTGCCGATGTGGAAATTTGTTTTGTGGACTTCACCGTTATTCTGACAAGCACAACTGTCCTTATGATTATAAAGCAGAAGCTGCAGCAAAAATCAGGAAAGAGAATCCAGTTGTTGTGGCTGAAAAAATCCAGAGAATATAAATTACTACTTGTGAAGAGACTGAAACTTTGTTTTTATTTTAATATATCGTAGGAAAACATTAAAGAGCAGATGCATGGCCATTTTTCTTTGATGTTCTCCAGAGTTTTACTTTACACTTGTCTGTCTTATAATTAATATTTTAGGATGTTTGGGTGTTTGTTGCAGGCAGAATTGGATAGATACAGCCCTACAAAATGTATATGCCCTCCCTTGAATAGAATTGGATGAAAATCTACACAGCAAAATGATACACACAGATAATAGGGACAAAATTTAGTTCCCGTGTGCCAAACAACATTAACAAAATCTCTGCATGTTTGCAGCGTATCTGCCTTTTGGGAATGTAATCAAGGTATAGTCTTTGGCTAGTGTTATGTGCCTGTATTTTTTAAAAAATGGTACACCAGAAAAGGACTGGCAGTCTACTTCTACCATAGTTCTACTTCACCCTCTTAATTTCCACATGTTCTTTGGAAGCAGGAAGAAAACAAGAGGATCAGACTTTGCTTTCTGTGAAACCTGTATTTGGTGCCATATGTAAGCCCGGTTAAATTGGTCTTCTAAAAGCTGTCAAATAAGACATTCTGTAAAAGGTAAACATCGCAAGTGCTTACAAGTAAAACATCAGCCAATAGCAGGGTCTTGAGATACTCTTTGAAGCTTATCGTGCTGGCTCGCACTAGAAGATGTCTGCATTCTTCTCATTGCTAAAAATGTGTAGCACTGAACTGCAGTAGGATTAATTTAATTACAAGAAGAAATTAAAACTGTTTGGTTTTCACATACAGCAGCTCTATTGAGTAACATGCATCTGAATTTTTTTAAGTTGCAAAGGTATCTGAGCAGTTAATTTTCATGTGCATCTTTTGTTGAATGTTTTGGTTCAAGAAAGAATGTTTAAAGCTTTTTTAAAGACTTCAGTTCTTAATGTAACTGTACCCTTCTGCATGGAAAATCATAACCAACATGGCTGCAATAGACTTCTTAGTGGTATCCAGCACCACTTGCAGAGGGCTGCTTTATCATATTAATTGTACTTGGGTGTAGGACTCTAGTGTTCTTGGGTGTATTGCATGGGCTGCATTATCTACAGCATTGTACAATAACAACTAGAAAAGGCAGTATACTTCACTGATGCTTGTCTGGTAATACCACTTCTGTGTTACAATGGAAGGTTTTTTGTGATGTATGAAACTTGTGTTTTTTATATATAAATGAGTATAGTTAGATTAGTGTTGTGGTAATGCCTGTTTTCATCTGTAAATAGTTAAGTATGTACACAAGGCACTACTTCTGATTTATTGCAGTGTTCAGTCCTAGTTTTTATTAAAGCGTTCAATTTTGCTTTCAATTTTATGTATCTTAGTTTGGAGTTAGATCTACAGATGTGTACAGATAGTTCATATTTATGTATTGCACATAATCATGCTATTCAGCATTGATGCTCTATTGTATTATGTAAATAATAAAAGCCATGTACAGAGGGAAACTTCATTTGTTCATTGGGTTTTTAAGCCATAGTTAGAATCCTAAAGAAGAAAGTGTTTCATGTCGTTTCTAGCTGTGTATGTAGACTGTGCATAGCTATACTGAAGATTTATTTGTTGCCTTCCCTGAACTTGATTTGTTCCAGTGAGGACCAAAAGATGAAGTATTCAAAACATTTGTAAATGTGGTACATGTTTGAAGAATTAGTCATCTTTAGGATCAAAACAATCTTTAAAAGAAGGAAATGAAGGTTGATTACTAGGGCATTTCACTTTTCCATGTTGTGCATCAATATATATAGATGAGGATTTTTTTTTTTTTACAAAAATTGTCAAACGTGACTTTTCGTATGCAAAATATTACGTTTTACTTGTTTTGAGATTTGGCACTATTATAGACCATGGTCTGTGCAGGTGTCAGATAAGAAAGAACAAAAAGTAACATACATGCTGACATTGTACAGTAACTGAAACCAAGAGCAAAATCATTGCTTCTCAGTAATGGAGTTTGGGCTGTTAATACTTAATCCTGGCTCACTTTGTCACATTGCTTTTTGTGTTGCTACTTTATCTTCAAGTGAGGATAGACAGGTACATTTTCTGTGTGCTGAGAAAGACAAGAACAATATTGGGGGATTACAGTTAGAGGTAGCACTGAGGGAATAGAAGTTATTTCTATCAAATTTGCTCCATAAATATTGGAATAGTAATGTGAGATAGGAAGAAGAATGAGCCCTCTGGTTCCATCAACCTGTGAAGACTTTATAACATCTACTGTTTCCATAATCCCTTTTTTATAAGAAATATTTAGATAAGATTTGGACATGATTGTCAGCAAAGTACACTGAGGAGAAGATAAATATATAAGGCACCTAGGAAGACTCCATTAAACCCAGACTCCTGCCTTCAAGCCTGAGTGTTTTGGTTTGGAACGTGGGCTTTATGAGATTTACACCGAGTTAACTTAAACATTTAAGATATACCTTGCTTGCCATTACGTAACCACTTAAACCTGTACAGTTGACTACCCACAGGTTTTTCTAGGACACCCATGATATGAAATAGCTATGTAACTTGCCAAGTCTTTTGCAAATCTAATCCTATGTGGGCCCCACAAATGTAAAACTAGAATCAATGTTTGATGTAAGATGGGCTTGCTGCTGTGTGGATTCATTTACAAAGGAAAGGTTTCTTTGAGTTGTTGGGCATGATTAAGGTCTTGGACCCTGGACCAACTTAATATACACAAGTGTTAGGTCTTCAGTGGACTGCTTCAACTGTTAAATGAGGGTGGTAACTACATACTTTAGGAATGTGAAGATAAAAGAGTTTGCTATTCATCTTAGGATAATGATTTCCAGAACTTAAGATAATAGAAGTTAAAGATTTGTAACCTTCGGACTTTCAGTTTCAAGTGTTAATCATACTTCTCAGGCTTTTCTTTTTGCCAGTACCCTCAATAGATGAGGCTCCTAGCAGTGATGAAAAATGGGCTGATGTCTAATGTCAAGATGGGAGGCATACTGTTAAAATTGGGGGTGATTGGTATAGATAGACATGGTTCAACAATGACTTACTAGTACACACTGAGAAGCAAAGCTTCCTTGATTCTGACCCACATCCTGTACTCCAGAAGTAAACATTTTCATAATTCAACTTGAAAAGTTGATGTCTTCCGTATCAGGCAAACATTTGTATATGTACAAAGATTACACTCGTGTCTATTTGCAGTTCTTAGACTGATTTTTTGCCCATGCATATTAATTTTTTTGCTGGTTGATTAGCAATAAGATTACATAGCTTAAACTACTTGAGCTTACATGAATAAAGCAGCCATTAATGATCAGAAAGATGAAATGTCACAAAGCAGCTTTCTTGTGTTTGTACAGTTAGTGTTTAAAAAGCAAGTGTACATACATGACAATACAAAGGAGTTTAATACACTTCGTCCTGATTTTTGACTGACTGCACTCAAGGTTGTGTGTGTGGGAAATGATCAGTAATGTAACTAAAGCTATTGTTTGGGAATTGGAGTAATCTGTCTATTCAGAAGTTAATAGAAAATATTCCTAATATATTCTTGAATTTTAGTTGAAAATAACATTTGCTTAGGCACTTATCCCTAGGGCTCGAGGATCAGCCAGGAAAATATACTTAAAATCTAACCTAGTAGATTTCTATTTCTCAGATTGATCCTGTTTGTATAATTCATGACAAACTTAGCTGGTCCTTGAGAGGCAATATGCTGCTGCCCTTTTGTCCCTTTCCATCACTAAAAATGTGTTCAAACATGGAAATTGGAATATCATGCAAACAAAGTTCAGATTTTCTCTCTAGCACTATAACTCTTGCACTTTCATACAATTTTCCCATGCATCCAGGTATTCTGGTTCCCTGCCCACCCTATAAGAAAAATACTTCTTCAGTCTGCTGCTATTCCCTGAGGATTCCCTACATGCCAGACTTACCCCAAGGTAGGTTTCTAACACCCCCATACCAAAAATATTCGACTCCTAATGTTAAGTTTTACATTAATTGCTATTGTAAAAAGTGGAAACTTGCAGTATTTAAATAATGGCTACCCAGCCACCCCATCCATTAGTCTTTAGTGTCTGTGTTGTCTAAATGTCTGCCCAAATCACCTGTGTTTAAACTAGTTTCATTTTTAGCTACACTGAAGCTTATTTATTTGGTTGACATGAAAATTACATTGTTTTGCATATCTGAGGCAGCCTAACCAGCTTTATTGATGACTACATTATATTAGGTGATGAAAATAATGTAACATGAAGATTCAGAGGTTTTAATGAACACAGCAATGGTACCTTTTAGAATCAAGTTAAATCTAGAGGTATTCAAAATATGTGTATTTGGGCATGGCCCTTTAGCACCCAAGTGATAGACATATGTGGATTTTTTTATTAAAAGCAAGGCTTTTAATGTGGATTAAAGGGTAGCAGTTTCTACTTGATAAAATGAGACTCTCGCTAACATAGTAAGCATCCTACTTAACATAACTGCAGTGCCTATTTTGTATAGTACAGGTGCAATTACTATGTAACTCAGTTCTAAGCAAAGGATGACACGGGACACAGAAGTAATGACTTGAGAAGTTGGGTTTCTGCCACCCATGTGAGAGAACAAGATTGAATATTCTGATCACCAGCTTATCCCAAGCCTGGCCCAATTCAGGCCATAGGCAGGAATTTGTGGAGTAAACCAGTAGGTAGAAGCTCTTTCTGTCTCTCTTTCGCTGTTTCTCAAAATAAGTAAATAAGGATTACATTAGTAAAGATTCAGGGTGAAGTTAAAGAGATCAACGGAATAAGTATGCCTTTTTTTGATCTCCTTAATGAGAACTGTCTTCTGTAATGACAATTCTGAACTCAGGCTTTGATGAAAGTTTTCTTAAAATGGATTTTTCATGGCTTTAAAAAGAATATGAAGAACAGTATGAATGCAAAGTTTTCCATTTTAAAGTCACCATTTTAATTTGCTTTTTAACTCTATGGTTCTTAAACACAATTTGTTTTATGTAACACCTGCCAAGAACAAATTAACAAAATTAAACAAGGTCTGGTTTAGGTTTTACAAAATGTGTTCATACAAAACCTAGAAATGGTGTGAATTAACTCCTAGGAAATACTGAGAACACATGAAAGGTGCAGCATTCCAGTCCTGAAGTCAGTTTATTTCATTTGTGCTTTTTAATAATTTTTATGAAATTTCTAGAAGAGTTAATTACATCTGATCCATTCTTCTGTAGCTTTGAAGTAGTCCAGATACATAAGTAGGTTGTTTTACAACTACAAAAAAAAGCCACCTCATGAGTGTAAGAAACAGGTGGTCAGAAAGTATTACCACTCTCTTCAGGCCAGAAACATCCTGAATGCTTTAATCTAACTAAATGCTGACCAATACATCTCTATTCTTGTCCAAGCTATAGGATTTTTCTAACAATTCTTATGAAAACCCTGCGAAGGCATTTTTTTTAGATTCCTACTGAACTATAAGGATCAGAAGGAAACGGTTCATTTAATCCCCATACTGATAAACAAAATTTAAAATTATGAAAATGACTAAATATTCTATACAATCTACAATTTGTCAAATTTGAAAAGCCTTAATTCTTAAAAATACTGTCTACCCATGGCTTTGTGCCAACAGCTGGTGCTTTAAATTCCCTACACCACTGCTATCCAATAGATAATGCAAGCCAATATGTAATCTTAAAGCTTCTAATGGTCATATTTTAAAAAGTAATAATTAGTAAAATTAAGATATCTTGATTAATCCAGTATTTCAAAAACATTTCAGATGTAGTCATAGAAATATTTTAAACTACTTTTTACATTGTTTTTTTTTTTTTTTCCCCTATCTTCTATTTCTTGGAATATAGCTAAGACTAAACACGTTTTTAAGTGCTAACTAGTCAAATGTACCTATTGATTACCCTATTACATAGCATAGCTTGGTCTCCCAAGAAAGGCATCTTTAAAGATCCTGGACAAGTGCCATAGTTAACCAAATTTGCTCAAGAGGTGCAGCCATTGTACAGAAGCCCCCAGGTTGGTTTGAACAAAACACTCGATACTGAATTATTGCATTTCAAATTCCATAGTACAATTACTTGTTTATAGCATGCATTTGTAAAGCTAAAAGTCAAAGACTGCATTTTAAAATGAGTTTATGTTTGTAGTAGAAACCAAATGAAACAGACTTGGTAAAGTTGTTCTCATAGTTTGCATCTGTGGAAGGCTATGTCATCTTCCAAGAAGCCGTAAGCAGAAGCTCAGTGTCAAAGACAAGAATTTATTCCTCTCGTTCTTGGAACTGAGAGGAGAGAACTAAGAGCAGCAAACAAATTCTTGTCTTTGACACTGAACATTTCCCAATGGCCTTGGCATGCTCTGTATGATCAGGGTAAATAAGGCATGTGGTTTCAGCTTTCAAAGAGATCATGAACAAGTATGATGGACAAGAAGAATCCTCTGAATTACTG